AAAGGACCGCTGAAGAACGTAGAGGTCAACGAACAAGGGAGCCTTGGATTTGGAGCACGGACAGCCAAGGTTCCTCATTCCCAAGATGTCCAGGCGGCACGACAAGCGCAACTTTCAAGGGCCCAAGCATGGGCTCATAGTGCCAGTCAAAGTGCAGAAGCGTCTGCTAGCCCAGACCAGGTTGCGGGTACTGACGCCGACCCATTCAGGACTTCTGCGACCACCCTGACTGTTGAAGCAATCGAAAAGGTGTTCGATTGCCCAGCTCAAGGCACGCTCACTTTCTTGCGCGACGTGCTCAGCGACGGTGAAACGCCCAGCCCTTGGAGCTGGAGCGGATACGAAAGGATCCCTACCGACGTGTCCGTGGACAAGTACTTGGATCAATGGAGGGAGAATGAGCTCCGCAGACGGGAACGAGCGAGGAAGCGAGCTGAGCGGAATGGCACACCAGACTCAACAGCTGAGCTACGGTCAGTCGACATCGCATCCGAGGAGCTGAGGCCTCGCTTGGTCCAAGCCAAAAATATAGCAGAGGATGGTTTCGCCAAACAGAAGGCGTGTCTCTTGGGCCGGGTCCTAGTGTTTGACCGAAATGCACATCCTCTTTTTGATCCATATGCCACGACAAAGAGTTGCAGCAACAAGACGGTCGACTGTGTGTCGAGCGCACGCCGCAACAAGAAGGCGCTATCGACATTGACAATCGAAAACCAGACTCTCAACGAGCGAATGCTGACGGAGGCAATCACAGAGCTCGAAATCCAGGACGCAGAAGCCAGACCATCAGGCCCAGCTTCTGAGGTGAACAAGAAACACATATTCAAGCCATTGCAGAAAGACCCAGCAGCACAAGCCATGAATGGCGAGCTTTGGTGCCATAGCAACATTGGGCAATTGCTGCCACCATCTTTGAAAGAAGAGTGGATTTCATTTTGCAGCAGGTATGAGGCCAGGAACTGTCGACTTTTCGATGCTTTCGCCAAGTCTTCCTCAGCAGCCGGTCAGAGCATCGAGAATTGTGAAGATGACGTCCAGGATTCCGAGCCGGCCTCTCTTTTCGGAACCACATTTTACTTCAACGGATTGCAAAGAGACAAGGACGGAGCCCGTCTGGTAAACTTCAATCGCCCCGTGCCACTCTACGCTCTTTCGCGCCATCGCAACTCCAACGACAACACACGCGCCGATCGTGTTCGCACACGCAACAGACCAGGGGAAGGCCCCGTTGAGTTCCTTGGCTGGTTCCGCTTGACCAGCCTCAGGCTCGTCGCACCACATTCGCCCGAGTTGATCCGAATGCTGGAAATAAAAGATGGCGCCAAGGGCTTCAAGAAACAGCGGAGCAAAGAAGCATGGGCCAAGAGTCTGTCCACTGCGTGGGCTCGCATCGGCATCGAGAGGATCCGCACCAAGACGTTCACCATCGGGCATGACGAAACCGCGCGGGAAGTCCTTTTGATGGATCCTTCAATGGCTTCCGGCTGTCCGGATGAGCTGGAAGCATATATATCCAAGCTTGCAGGACTTCAAACCAGCTGAACAGCATCTGCGAGGCGTACTTACTGAAGCTACGCGGTTCGCACTCAATCCGCAATGTAAATTTAGCGCATTCAGACAGCATTGTCACACTGCAAATGAGCCAGGTCGTATTCGACTCATCAGTTCAGTGCAAAGATAGCGAGTGCGTGGGATATCTTAGTTTCAAACACTTTCAAACACTTTACGAAGAAGACAAAAAGCTTCCGGAAAGGATTAACAAGTGAGAAAAGAGAACAGAGAAGGAAAAATGGACAAGGGCGACAGCTTGCAATGGCGCGTGTAATGACTCGGTTGTCCAGCCAACTTGCATTGGGTGTCGCCCGCATTCCCAGCCGACGGACGCGCAAACTTATCGCGATGGGATCAACAGCGAACAGGCTCGCCACCCGCTCATGCTTCCAGCACGATGCAACATCTGTTGACCCGGTTAACACCACAAACTGCAATGGTGCGGTGCGTGAGGCCTGGGGGGGGGGTAACTAGAAGAAGAGATAGGTGATCACAAAGACGCCGAACGCGATGGCAGCGACAATGTGGACCGGCACGCCCTCTGCAGCCTGCATGGTCTGCGTGCCTGCGCGCTTTGTCGCCTCCGCCAACTGCTCCTTAAGACGAGCAACTTCGGCGCTCAAATCCTTCTCATCGCTTCCCGTCGCGCGGTTCGCGATGTTGCGCGTAGCATCGATAGCCGCTCCACCAGCAACGGCTGCCGCACCGCCTGCAACGTAGGTGGCGTTCCTATCCTTGTCGGTGGCGGTGCCGTTGGGTGCTGCATTCGAAGCGGCTACCGTCGGGTTGAGTGCCGACTGGCCGTTGGTCTGAGAGCCAAACTGTGGTGAGGAGGATGAATCGGTAAAGCCGTTGGTGCGGCTGGGGACGCCTCGCACCGTCTGGTACTTTGACTAGCAGGCACGTCTGCAGCGTCAGCATTTTTGACGCCCTTCCACGGCATGCCGGGACCGAGAGAACACTCACGTCGTCGCTGATAACACTTCCAACACCAGCGGCCTCGTGCTCATTCTCCTCGGGAACGGGAGCAGACGCAGGAGGCAGGAAAGCACACCGAATCTTCTGCTCATGGATCTGGCTCTTGTCCTCCTTCTCGATGATGCTCCATATGTCGGTGAGAGGTACAGTCTCCCGCTCCGGCGTGATGATGGCGGACTGAACCAGGAACTTATCCCGGCACTTGGCCGACATTGGCGGCTCCTCCTTCATTGGTTGAAGCAGCACTGCAAAAGGTGGTCGTCAAAACAAGCACTCTAGCGCGCGTGTTTGAAAGTCGACAAGCCCGGAGTAAATGCTCACCTTGAACTTCAATTCTCTCGCCTGGCTCGATCCTTCCCGAGTTGGGGCGAACACAGTACTGCTTTGGCGCTGTGGTCTTGACCTTAAAAGCAACTGGTTGATTGTTGGGGTTGGACACTTGCAGCGAACGTTTGACCAGCTGGGTCAAGGGTCCTGCAGAATTGACGCACCGAGTTCACTGTAAGGTCAGCTTGCTGTCGGTGCGCAAACCATAAGATAAAAGCAGGGGTTTTTGCCATGCACTCACGGGGAAAGCCGAGCTGCACATGCGGGTTGAGACTGGAGGAAAGACCATTGGGATCAGCATGAGGATCAGTCAAGGGCAGAGCATGGCCCCTACCCCTATCCCCAGCGAGACCAGGAAGCGCAAGGACGGATGCTCCCGAGTCCGCTAGCAAGGGGATGCACGAGCACCCCGCGTGGCAAAGATGCTGTGAGGACCCCCGCTAAAGCGGTGCAAGTAGTGCGCACTCAGCCTTCGTACTCACTCGACAGACATGATGACGATACGCGCTTGGGCCACGTCACACGATCCGTGTCACTATTCAGGAGTGGTACCAATTTCGCGCGGACAATCGGCGAGGGGTTAATGTTGCAATTCATGGATGGGGTTGAAATGATGGAGCAGGGTAAAGAAGACCAGCTCAGTTCAGGGAACGGTCAATGCCAGGGGAATGAGTGATGACGAAAGCCTGGATGGTGAGGATGCAAGATACGAGATGCAATGCAATGGCTACTCACGGTCACAAGAGAGGGGGATGATTCCAGTATAGCGCAGTCGAGGAAACTCTTTGATCGGCCGGGCGAGGGCGGGGTGTGGGGTGGCCGGAAGAAAGCAAGATTCTGGCTGGCGGGGGGACCCTCGAACGAGGCGGCACCACCTGCGATCAGCACACGCCGGTGGTCTTCAGCTCCAAAGCGGGGTGGGCGGGAAGAGCAAGCAGCACGCGAAGCTGTGTGCAGAGTGTGTTGTGCTGCTGCTGCTGATGGTGCTGATGAGATAGCAAAGGGGAGTGGAATGGAGGTGGATGCGCCAGGAGCCCTTTCTTTGAGCTGTGGCAGTTGGTGTGGGTGTCGGATGCATCCTTGCGCACTGTACAGGCATTGCACCCACATACACAGGGACTTTTGTATATGTACCGGGCGGTTGCGCGATGTTGAGAGATGCGATGGCCGGCGGGTGGGGACAGGGGAGAGAGGAGAGGAGAGACGCGCGCGTGATGTGATAATGATGACGATGATGAAAGCTTGTGCAGGGCATCACAGCAGAGCGCCTACTTAACTGGGCAGGGTCTGTGACAAAGGGCGCGGGTACACACTGCTCTGGCGCTGCCCGTAATCAGTTCGCTGATGCTGCTTCGGACATTGGGCAGAAGCGCACCCGGCCGAGACTCCGTTCCTCCGAGCATGGGCAGATTGATCGGCCACTGCTCCCCAACACACTGCCGCTGTACTCACAATTCTGATTTGCTGTCTGTCCACACGCTCCACCTCTCGAGTCCGCAATCGCTTCGTCTTGCCGCTCACACCCAGGCTGGGAACAGCCACGCTAGGCTTCACGCGCACAACTTCGCACATTTTGGCACCGGCCTGAACTTTTGATTGGATCGAGAATCTCTTGTTGGTGCCAGTCGAATCTGGAGCGCGTTATATACACGGTCTGCAGCCCAGGCTCGTTGGACATATATACTAGCACATGCACGCGTACTATGCAAGGCTACGACTTGACGTGTGACCGCTCCTTTGTCATTCTACGACTCTGCCCAACCCAAGGCCCTGAGGTGCTCTACTCGATACTTATGCTTGAGTGTGGAAGCAGGGATCGTTGATCGAGGCCTTGAGACACTTTAAGAACTCAGCATCACGTCCGCAGTCGAAGGCTCATCATAGCATTCATTGCAGTCTAACCACTGGGCTGCACCAGGCGGTATTCAAGCAGAGGCAGGCATGGGCAAGTTATGCTTGCGAACGCCCCTTGCTCGTCTGTCCCGGAATCGGTCGTGATCGCCGAAGACAGGCTCGATCAAGCCGGCGATGGCGAATAAGTCCAAGTCTTTCATCAGCCACTGCCTGCCGGCTGCAGTGATGCGCACGCAAGGGAATGATGCACTGGGGATGAGGCCCGCCCAAATCTTTCCTACTTGTATGGCAGCCCTTCCCCCACACTGGCGTCATAGATTCTCCTAGTAAATACTGTTACAGTTGACATGCAGACAGCCAGTGTCTTGGCAGCCCGACGTATCTCTCAACCTTCGTGGGTCTCCTTCCTGTCCCACCCTCGTCCCCTTCTCCAATCGGTAGAGCATGGCTGGGCCTGCATCGCACCTTCTCATTTCAAGGGAAGGGAATGATGGCTTTGTCGCTGATCATCCAGAGACAGCGCTTACACGGGCGCCTCACCTCACAGAGGAGCAAGCAAACTGAAAATGGCTCGCCTTTGCTTGCGTACAACATATTGAAGCCGACGAATGCCACGTCTAGTTTCCTTTGATCACCGACACCTCAGAGTACAACTTCGCGACGAATGTGTCGCATCGAAGAAATGGTTGTTTTACAACCTGTCTCGCTTGTATGTCCTTTCAAATTCGTGCTGTGGTGGCCAGAGGGGAGATCGCTTTAGCACACAGGTGCATATTCCTGCGTCACCCATTGCAGCGCTGACTCACGTTGACAGCCATCAGCTTCGTGTTGGTGCCGGGCTCGACGTTGTTCCAAGGCGTCGGGTTGTTCTGCATCATCAAAGGCGTGCAAGGAAATGTTGAGCTTCCGCGCTTTTGACAACGATAAAAGGTGTATTGAAGCAAGCTCTCACCTTGCGGTCCCAGATCACATCAGGTCCCCGCGCCAGGCGAGTAAGGTACCTTTGAAGAGAATGAGATTGTCAGCATCACTTCGGCGAAACCCCATGGGAAGCATGCCGACTGCGGCAGAGTGCCCAGTATCCGTAATGCAGGCAAACTGGCAGTGCAACTTGATCGATATCGTCTTTGTGACCGAAGAAAATACTTGGGGTAACTGCAACTTAGGGTGCAGTCCAGCCGCTTGGACACCTCAGACTTGACGACCTGTTAGATGCGCAGCGCCATTGGCACAGACACTGGTCTCCGAACAGACCAATAGCGGATCGAAGGAGCTCTGGATCGATCGAGGCGCAAACTTACCAGGTAGCACCACCAGCAGCTGCGGCGGTGATGACATAGATTGGAACGACTTCAGGCGAGTACCAGTTCTTCATCCATGCGCCTTTGGCAGCGTTCTTGATGTTTTGCGCCATCTTGTCTTTTCTACCCTTGCCAAGGTCTTGAGCTCACCAGGAATAAATGCTGCTCAGTGGAATGCTAGAATAATGCGGCAGACGGAGTGGAAAGCAAGGAGAATATGGTATGTTCAATGTTGAAACTCAGAACTGTTGTCGGGAGTCGAGACACGAGCGCGGAGAACCGAAGCTCCGCCCTCAGGAAATATAAAGCGAAAGAGCGGAACGCCGGCGGAACCCGGATCCAACCGGTGCAGAGGGTGACGCAGACGGTGTGCTATTGCGTGAGTGCTGGGTGTTGAGTGTCGTGTGTTTGGCAATCTGTATATTAGTTTCACTTAACTGCCTTCAAGCGATGGATTGGGCTTCGCTTGCAATCTAAAGTGGAATGCTCTACGTCGGTACACTTCGCAATGCCAACCGTCACGTCGTTGCCAGAAGCAGGCTGCAGAAGAAGAGACAAGCAAGCGACTCCGCTTTCGTGATTCAAAGCCTGGAGTGGGAACGAGTGCTCGCGGTCTCTTTGACCTAGGGTGCTGTCTTTCTGAAGAAGCATCGAAGAGATCCACTCATCTGCGGTATCGGCCGCCTCAGCTACTGCCGATACAGCACGAACACTGTGCTGGTATTAGGCATTAATCGTTTTGCTCGAACAGCTTGCCATCGCAAGTCGAAGTGCTCGTTCTCGTGATCAGTTAGCAGCAACGGCTGTTGAGTCCAAGAATTCCTCGCGCAACCAGAACGTCGGAAATGGATTCAGAATCAGATGTATCCCTCGCTTACGTCAAGCGAAGAGGTATACGACGATCTCGAGGCCCTGTCCCGCTCCCCATTCCAGATTTGCGCTTCGAACAATCCTATCTTGGGTCGATCCGCAGGTTTATCCAACCAATACCATCGACACAGGGGAGCAGTCCCCCTGCTCAGGATGAGAAATTTGCGCCAGAGAAAACTGCACCATCGCGCGATGCGATAGGGCCTGAATTCTGGTTGCAAAAGCTACAACTGGATTGGTGAGCTTGCTGTGGATCCAGTCGCATCGGATGGGATGAGCAGCTCACTGCTCTTTTACCTTCTCCATGTCCGGGACCTGTGCGTAGGTTCAACATCTTGCGTGTCACGCTTTTCGATCAAATCGTCTCGCAAGTGGTACAAGGCACTCTTTTTGCATTGGTCGGGGTTACATGGACCAGCTTCCGACTTTATCGCGGTGCTCAACGCGACAAATAAACTGAAGCATCAACGCGATCTGATTCATCCGCAAGCGCACGCCACACTCTCCATGCATTTACCCTGTTGGCATATAACTTCGTGACTGATTTCGACTTTGTTGTATCACTACGTGCGGATTCTCAAATAGATATTATGATAGTATCCAGGGCGTTGAATGCAGTAAAGTGGGTGCATCGCAAGAGCACAAAATTTGAGAACCGCCATTGGTCTCATTCCAATGTTGACGTGACGCTACGCGCGCACTAGTCACCTCATCTTTAGTAGATGTATGGAATGATGCGGCTTGGAACCTTGGAGATCTATTGAATAATGATGGAAGGGCTTCAGATGTCAAACCTCCTTGGAGTGATTACTAACAGACACTTACGTATACGTCCCAGCTAAGCATACACGGGAAAGATGACGAGTAAGTAACGTAGAGAAGCTCAGAAAGTTACCGGCAATCTCGCCATCGCTTGGCGTGCACGAGCTGCTTCCAACCCACTCACTCTTTGCCGTACTTTTTCTGGCAGGCCTCGTCATCACGCCTCTGCCTGTGCACTAGCAAAACAACAAAAAAGCAGAAGTAGAAGTAGGTGATTGGCGTGTTGAAACCCGTCGGCAAGCTCCAAGAGAGAGCCATGATCCAGTCGCCGAAATAGTTCGGGTGCCGCGATCGGCCCCACCAGCCTGACGTCAGCAACTTGCGACCGGACTTGGTGGTCATGAATTGCAGGTCTGAATAAACGGGCCGAGAGCAGAGTCAGTGTATGCTTACAAGTGTTTGGACAACACAGATTCAAACTATTGTCAACCTACTCTTCTTATTCTGGCCTTTCCTGAAGTCATTTTTCTCTGCGTTAGCAGTGCGGAAGATGTAGTAGCCAGTAAAGTTGGACGCAAAGATGGCGGCAGTTGCGATGAAGCCAAGGTCGACAGGAGCGAAGGCGAGGTAGCGAGCTTGTAAGCTGTACACGAAGGGAACCCAGGTCAAGTCGCCAACTGCAAGCATGAAGCCAAATCCATCGGTGGTGATGTCCATCTGCGAGAAGATGGCACTTTCGTAGTAGAGCGCGTCAACGACATAGAATGTATGGAAGATGAGAACAAGGGCCATGCTGTCGGTGATTCTGCCGCCAAGGGAGATGTATTGGTGGCATGCGCAGGAGAAATCGAGGAGTGCCCAGAGGATGAGGCCAGGGCGCAATTCGTTGAATGTCTTGATGTCAAAGGAGCCGATACGAGGGTTGAGTTCGCGGCCGATGAACCACTGGCATTCAAATGGAACGATAATAAGCTGATATCACGTGCAGCAATTGAGGGCAATGCAATACTTACGTCAAAAAGCGTATTGCCGGTGTTGCCGCCCTCGGCAAGGAGCTTGCCTTGCTGAAAGCTGGCATAATACACATAGAATGCCTGGATAAGGGAATTGGAAAGAGAGGCCGAGACTAGGGCTGGCCAGTGGTCATAGAAAAATGTGTAGGCCGCTGGTCCTTTGAGGAGGATCCAGCCCGCGGACAGGCCAAAGCTAGCAACCAAAGTCGCGAACGCATTGGTCTTGTATTTGAGTTTAGCCCCTGTTCGAAGAGAGAGACCCTCCTCGGTCCTGCCTGGCAAGATCGCCCAGCAGAGGACGACAAATGCGTACCAGGCAAAGTAGATAGCCCAGCCTTCGTAGTCGAAAAGGCTGTCGACGACACCCTGCTTCATCGCCTTGAAAAGCAGAGCAGGTGACTTGGGTAGGATCGAGCAACCTGCCTGCTCATTGCAGACGAAGTAGAGGGCGTATGAAAAGAAGGGGACGGTTGATGTGACAAAAGCGGCACCGAGCGGCCCACCAAATTCGTAGTGTTCAGTCTTGGGTGCGAGGACGTCCTTGCTGTGATTCTCCTTGGAGGCGCGCCCGTTCGAACGCGTCGACATGTTGCGAGTAGGAGTTTGCGGTGTCTTTTCAGAGCCTTTGAGCGACTTGCGGGAAGATCTTCTTTGCACAGACGCCGAGGGCTTGTCCGACTGAGCTCTGCATTCCCGAAGTTAGTGAATGCAGAGAGCGAGTGAATGTGTGGTTGAATGGCGGTGGAGATAGATTGAGAGGATAGGTCAGCTGGTTAAATGGGCTTTGGGGTTGGATGAAACAGGCATGTGTCTGTTGCAGCCTCCCGAAACCCAACACAATGTGAATGGACCCACCTAGTAGTCACCATTATGACCTGACAATTACCGACCTCTGCAGCGAGTGAGCGGCGGGCAGTGCTCGTCGTGTGCGCTCAGTGTTGCTTAAGAATGAACGTACGATTGTGGGAAGACCAAGGGTGTAAAAAAGTCAGGATACAATATTCCGGAATAGGGCAAAGGTTGGAGATTGTGTTGGTGATGAGGCCGAAAATGTGGAACGAGATGCAACATTATGTGAATGTGGAGCATTTTTTTGGTGCGGGAATTGGCCTATCTGATAGGACGTATCAATTAAAATTGATGTATAAAGAAAAAAATTACATACACCTGCACACTGCAGTTTATACACAGTCAACAACACTCCTTCTAGGCAGGGGGAGAGAGGCCAAGGGGCGTCTCTCGTGGAACGTGCTGTGAACTGCGACGCGTGAATGGTAGAGTTTGACGCGTATTCCAAGGAATTGACCCACACATGGGGTTGTTTTATCAATAGAATCCGTGAATCAGTGCACCTCTCTACTTTCCAAGAACTCCTGGGCCATCGCTCACGTCCCCCCCACCTTGAATCTCCAGTGACCTCTCCACTCCTCGTGGAAGTCAGTATGCGCATATGGGCAGTCCTACATGCTAAACAGCAGGTATTTCGTAGGAGAAACTTAGCAGACCCGAAGAAGACGCTGCTGCGCTGTGATTTGTCCCAGCCTGCATCGTCCGCCCGGCGCTGACGAGCAGCCATGTCAAGACCTTCGGAACGACTCGCTGCGAGAACAAACGCAAACAGCCAAGACGTGCCGAGTTCCACAAGCACGGCCCTGACAAGCGCCGACAAAGACATGTTTTCCAGGGTGGGAGCAGGAGTGTCCAAGTCTGCTGTACTCGACAACGAGCATCCTAATACTGCGGTAGAAAATGGACGCGGACCACTTGGTGAATATGAGAAGCATTCGGATGAGGACGGGACTTCACAAGGCCACTCCTCTTCATCCCTTAGCAAACGGGACCGCAATGCTATCATTCTCTTGGTCGTTTTATGTGAGTTGAAAGGGTTCTTTCTTTCGGGCGCTGTTGGATCGCGTTGATCTGACCCCACAAATATCCTCTACGTTAAAAGACTTTTTGCAGGGGATCCCGGTTGGACTGGCATTTGGCACCATGCCGTACCTGCTCAAGGCTAAACTTTCCTACTCTGATATTGGATTCTTCATGCTGTGCACATATCCTTATTCCCTCAAGCTTTTCTGGAGCCCTTTGGTGGACAGCATCTACCTAAGCAAGCTGTGAGCCAGAAGACAGCCGCATTCAAACTGCGACCAACAAGCTCCTCAGCTGAACCGTCTGTGACACTTATGCTGCAGCCGACTTCCGCTTCTTGGAACACTGCACCTGGGTCGAAGGAAGACCTGGATTGTTCCCACGCAAGCCATCGTTGGAATGATGCTCTGGTTTCTCGGTCACCGTGTTGACAGCCTGTTGCTACCAGTGAGCTTCTCCTCTCGCGATCGATAGGGCAGATACCACAGATTATTGAAGTAACTTTCTCTCCATCTGAACAGGACATTCCAAACGTCTACTTAATTACTTGGCTTTTCTTCCTCCTCATTTTCTTCGCTGCGACGCAAGGTAAAGCGGAATCTTCTTAAAGGCAGGTCGGTTCGGCACTGACATGTGCCTCTCAATAGACATTGCTGTCGATGGGTGGGCTCTGACCTTGCTAAGCGAGGAGAATCTCAGCTATGCGTCTACAGCTCAGACGGTGGGCCTGAACTCAGGCTACTTCATGAGCTTCACCGTCTTTCTTGCGTTTAACAGCGTCGAGTTCACGTGAGTTGGACCGGGGTCTCCTTTTGGTGTGGAGAGTTCAAAGCCAACTCTTGCAAATTCTCTTCGCTACTCTTCATTTAGTAACAAGTGGTTGCGCAGCGTGCCGCAAGATTACCCAGCACTCTCACTGAGTTTGTACCTCAAAATGTCTGGCGTCCTGAGCCTCGCTGTGACAACATGGCTTCTGTTCATGAAGAAAGAAGTAAGTGAGATAGCCAAGATTCTACAGGTTAAATCCATCGGTACTATAGGCTGATACAGCCCCCTTCTGTTGCAAAATAGGACCCTGAACCAGCGCATCATGAAGAAATGAGCATCAAGTCGGTTTACTCCACAATGTGGCGAATTGTCCAGCTGACTCGTGAGCATCCAT